TGTTGGTCACCGCTTATGACAACAATTGAAAATGTTGCTCACTGCTTATAACAACAATTGTAAATGTTGGTCACCACTTATGACAACAATTGTAAATGTTGCTCACCGCTTATGACAACAATTGAAAATGTTGCTCACCGCTTATGACAACAATTGAAAATGTTGGTCACTGCTTATAACAACAATTGAAAATGTTAGTCACTGCTTATAACAACAATTGTAAATGTCGCTCATCGCTTATGACAACAATTGAAAATATTGCTCACCGTTTATAACAACAATTGAAAATGTTGCTCACCACTTATGACAACAATTGAAAATATTAGTCACCGCTTATGACAATAATTGAAAATGTTGCTCACCGCTTATGACAACAATTGAAAATGTTGGTCACTGCTTATAACAACAATTGAAAATGTTAGTCACTGCTTATAACAACAATTGTAAATGTCGCTCATCGCTTATGACAACAATTGAAAATATTGCTCACCGTTTATAACAACAATTGAAAATGTTGCTCACCACTTATGACAACAATTGAAAATATTAGTCACCGCTTATGACAATAATTGAAAATGTTAGTCACTGCTTATGATAATAATTGTAAATGTTACTCACCGCTTATGACAATAATTGAAAATGTTGCTCACCGCTTATAACAACAATTGTAAATGTTAGTCACTGCTTATGATAATAATGTAAATGTTACTCACCGCTTATGACAATAATTGAAAATGTTGCTCACCGCTTATAACAACAATTGTAAATGTTGCTCACTGCTTATGACAACAATTGAAAATGTTGCTCACCGCTTATAACAACAATTGTAAATGTTGCTCACTGCTTATGACAACAATTGAAAATGTTGCTCACCGCTTATAACAACAATTGTAAATGTTGCTCACTGCTTATGACAACAATTGTAAATGTTGCTCACCGCTTATAACAATAATTGAAAATGTTGCTCATCGCTTATAACAATAATTGTAGATGTTGCTCACCGCTTATGACAATAATTCTAAATGTTGGTCACTGCTTATAACAATAATTTTAATTGTTGCTCACTGCTTATGATAATAATTGAAAATGTTGCTCACCGCTTATGACAATTGAAAATGTTGCTCACCGCTTATAACAATAATTGTAAATGTTGCTTACCGCTTATAACAATAATTGTAGATGTTGCTCACTTATTATGACAACACTTGAAAATGTTGCTCACCGCTTATGACAATAATTGTAAATGTTGCTCACCGCTTATGACAATAATTGAAAATGTTGCTCACTGCTTATGACAATAATTGTAAATGTTGCTTACCGCTTATAACAATAATTGTAGATGTTGCTCACCGCTTATGACAACAATTGAAAATGTTGCTCACCGCTTATGACAATAATTGAAAATGTTGCTCACCGCTTATAACAACAATTGTAAATGTTGCTCACTGCTTATGACAATAATTGAAAACGTTGGTCACCGCTTATTGACAACAATTGAAAATGTTGCTCACTGCTTATGACAATAATTGTAGATGTTTCACCGCTTATGATAATCATTGAAAATTGTACTCACTGCTTATGATAATAATTGTAGATGTTTCACCGCTTATGATAATAATTGAAAATGTCGTTCATTGCTGATGACAACAATTGAAAATGTTGCTCACCACTTATGACAATAAATGTAGTTTGTTGTTCACTTATTATGACACAATTGAAAATGTTGCTCAC